TTATTGTCTTCTTCCTAAGCTGTCTATCCTCGTCTACCCATCTTGTATACATATGTTTTTGTATATACTGGCTATAAATTCTGTACTATAAAAGAAATAATGCCTTTCATTTTTAGAATCACTCCTCTAACAAATATAAGGTATCTGTCGTAATAATCACATAGATTGAGATTGGGGGCTGAAAATAAGAGAGCTTCAGCTGAAGAGATGACGATTTTCGCCAAAAGGAAATACTGTAATTAGAGACTTATAGTTAAGCGTAAAAAATGACTGAAATTGAATTACTGTATGGATTAGAGGTTCTTCTGGATAGAATCAATTTATTGGTGACACGAGCCAGGAGCGACGCACTTTAGTAGTGGTGGGCCTTTCTCTTTTCTATAAGGTAACAGCCTTACGGTGATTAATTCTACTCATATGAATGATTAGCTATTAATCTCTGTTAGTCATATCTGTTGAAATTCGTAAAACTATTAGTCGTATTAATAAGCGCTTACAAGGGTAGTTCAAGACAGGATATGAGGAGACGGATATACCTAAGGAGAAACGGGAATGTAAAAGCCTACTACAAGTACTTACTTATGACAAGAGATATTTGGATGAAACCATTAAACAACTGGAAAGGGGTAATCACGAGTGGTGTCGACTGATCACGGAATCACCACCGGAAATAGGGAATAAGGGGAAAAGTTGTACGAGCAGTAAGTATACCAATGAAGACGACGTAGCAAATTTCGTGGTTACTTTAGACAAAGCTAAGATCTTAAGAGGAATCATCGATAGACGGATGGCACACTGCGCAGCCAAAGTAAGAGAAGAAACGCCAACAACGGTATACGTCAATGAGCAATCCTCCAGAATTAAACTGCAGCAGTTAAGCTTACCTATCTATAGTAGAGATCCAAAAGGATGGATGGAATTTTGGGAACGTTCCTCGTCGGCGGTGGACGCAGTAAATATTCCAGCTACACAAAAATTCACTTGTCTCTTGAGTTGTCTACAAGGAAGCACATATGCAGCGATAGCCGGAATGAGGATTACAAGTGCAAATTACGACAACGCAATTCAAACGCTGAAAAGACGCTATGGAGATAAGAAACTGATCAAGACTGCACTCTATCAACAACTCAGTGGTATACGTTGCGCAGGACCTCAATTGAAGGATCTTCGAGCGATCGTAGACATGATTGATAAGATTTGTAACCAATTGACTGCTTATGGTGAGGATGTCAACCACGCTAGTATAGTAGCTCAAATAGAGAAGAAGCTTCCACCGGGGACTTTTATCAAATTAGAAGAAGCAAAATTAGTTAGTTTAGAATGGAACGTTAACATTATGAGAGAAAAACTTCATGAGTCGATTAGATTGAGAGAAAGAGCTTATACTGTTATGGAGTATAGATCTGGTAAAAGGGATTGGAATATTCTTGAACTAATTCAAAAGCCAATTGTTCAATCAGTTAATTCTTCATTTAACCAGTCTACTAAAAAAAATAATAAAAATATTAAATTCCCATGCGCTTTTTGTAGAGGGGATCACTATCATGACGAATGTTTCAAGTATAAGACGACATTAAGTAGGAAACGAAGAATTAATGAGGTAAATCTTTGTTCACGTTGTCTTCGTTCCAAGCATTTTGCTTCCATTTGTAAATATACTCGTCCATGCTTTTACTGTAGTGAGGATCATCATAGAGCACTGTGTGAAAAGAAGGATAAGGGTCTACGAAAGGAGGTAGAAAAGATTTAGAGAGTAAGAGTAGCCCAGGAAAGTAATTTAAGTAAACCTAATTCAACTTCTTTGTCGGAGGGGTATAAAAATAATCTCCAAGTAACTAACGTAAAAACTTGTTCGGAAAAGGCAAACAAATCTTGTGAAAAGGTAGTTCTTTTAAGTATTAAAGCAACAGTTGAGAATTCATCTAATCTGTCCAAGAGTGACACTTATCTCTTCCTTGATAGTGGTAGTCAGTTATCCTTCATTAGTGAGAAGCTAGCGCAAAAACTGAACTTGAAACCGTTGACTGAAGAGGTACTAAGTATCTACACCTTTGCTGCAAATAGACCGTTAAGAAGAGCCATCCAGCTTGTTGAATTTCACCTAGTACTGAGAAATGAGGAGAGGAAACTGATACAGGCTTATGTTATGAATAAGATCTCAGAGGAACTTCAAGCTATAAACGATAACGGCAAAACAGAGATGGTATAGCCAGAAATCCTCATCGGATCGGACTATTACTGGGACATTGTCAAAGAGACTTCAGAAGAATAGAAGGCCAA